GGAATTTCATTTCCCCAACAAGAATAAGAGCTTGATGACGCCAGTTCGCACCCATATCAATTAAGGAGCCAAGACCCTCATTCCCCCAAAGGGCTATCAAAAATGGATCCCCAAGGAGTCAACCAAATTTCTGGTGGGTCGCCAAAAAGAAGAATTTACACCCAGATGCAATCTTCACAGTCATATTCTCAGAGGCATCATCAAGAGCCAAAACTTTGCCCATTCAGAGACAAAACATTACAGTCAAAAAGTCTTCACTTCCGATGAAGCATCTGTCTACTTAGAGGCAATACCAGAACCTCAATGGAATATCTGCATACCTAAGAGGCATTCATCAAGAATCCCCAGTAATCAAGAAGTTGGACGACTAAACAAAAATCCAAAAGCGAGGAATCCCCGGCATACCGGATGATTACGCAAAAATCAAGAACAATCACTCCCCATGAAGTCGGCGCATGATCAAAAACAGTAAGCCGCCACCATCCCTTCAGGAAACGGAAGGACCTGAAAACAAAGACTTGCACACAGGCAAAGACCGGCGCATGGCCAGAAGCAGCAAGCCGCCACCACAGCAGAGGGGTCAGCTACCATACCGAAGGAGCATCCCGAAAGTCTCTACGTGTCAGCAGAAGGGTCAGCTACCGCACCGAAGGAGCATCCGGAAGCCTCACAACATCTTGACCGAGGGGTCAGCTACCGCATCAAAGGAGCATCCCGAAAGTCTCTACCGAAGGGTCAGCTACTGCACCCAAGGAGCATCCTGAAGCCTCACAGCATATCGTCCGAAAAGTCAGCCTCCACAGCAAGAAGAGCATCCAGAAGACAATCGGACAAGGGGGTTAACTCCTTCACCCGCCATTTGACCTCATAAGTAGGTTAACCCCTGGTCAATTGGTCAGGTAAAGGGGGGGCAATTGTAGACCCCAAATCTTGCCCGGACTCCTAATAAAGCCGAAGATCGCTCATTCCGAAGATGGTTAAGACTCTATCAAGTCCCTAGCAGCTTGTTATAGGTTCCATTTAGGATAGGAAAGGTTTTTAGAGGCATTAAATCGGGAAAACCACCGGAGACAGCAGATGGTCGTCCAAAACAGGCGGATGGCCGTTCAGAGCAGGCGGGGCAAGCCCGACCCCCGGGCATTTTAGGGCACATATTCCCTTATTAATTAGTAAAGAATGATTCTTACTATCTGTTTCTCTTCTTTCTATTTCTGACTAGACCACGTGAATAACCCTGTCTAAGTAAAACAAACAAAAAATAAGAAAGAAGAATAAAAAGCGCATCCAAATAATCAACATTTACCATTGCTATTGCCATTAAGCTAGTTGATCAGAAGCACATAAAAATAAGACTTCACCTCATCCATAAAGAAAGTCATGCTTCGCCAATACTGTGAAAAAAAAAAAAAAAAAACACAAAAAAGAAAAGCTCAAAGAAGCCAAAGGCCAAAGAAAAGGGCAAATTACCCGGTAGGAAACCCACTAAGGGGGCTACACAAAAGATAGGGTCGACCCAGTGGGATACCCGAACAATAATAAAGGGTAGCCTAGGCAAAAGTTAGGGTTACAAATAAGGTCCGCTAGGATTTCTCCAAAAATTACAAAAAGAAGGAACTTAGACAAAAGTTAGGGCCAAAACACAGTATCCTAGTTCGAAAACCCAAAGGGCGATCTAGGGAAATCAGCTAACCATTAAAAAGCAATGGGAATAAAACCAAAGAGCGCAAATACAAAAAGAAAGAAAAATGTTTGCTTAGACAAAGCTTAAACACCTAAGCCTAACCTTAGCCAGTCATGCTTACAAAACCCTGTATCAATAAAAATTAACCCTCTAAAACACAAATCATTGATTTTTACCTCTTTACTTCTTTCCTCTTGACCCTCACATCAATATTCTAATAATTAATTTGGGAATATGGAGGCGTATAGTCAACAAGAGGATTGAAATCCCTAAAGCGAGGAAAAAGGGGCACTACATGACAAAGAGTGTGCTGCAAAAGAAAAAAGGAGAAAAAAAAAAGCAAAAGAGAAAGAAAAGAAAGAAAAAATTATCCTTCGATCACAAGACGTCCGACATGGTACAGCTAAAAGTAAACATGGCAGATCAGAGGGCATTCAGCGCAACGAGACACGTTGACTGACAAGTGGTAGAACCTCAGGATGCTCCTTCTTGCGGTAACCGACCCCTCGGTTGATGAGTATGAACCCCCATCCGGTTGCTTGTAGCTTTGGGATGCCCCTTCTTACGGTAGCCGACCCCTCGGTTGATGAGTATGAACCCTCATCCGGTTGGTGCAGTCCACTTTGTAGGACTGGTGGTGGTGATGGTTTACTGCTCTAGCTCATGCGTCGTTCCTTGTGAGGAGTGTTTCTTGCTTTGATAAATGTTTTTGACTTTTTTGATGAAGTCTTCCGGTGTGCCGGAGATTCTTTGATTTTTGGCTTTTTCCAATAGTCATCCAACTTGTTGATTGTTGGGGATTCTTTGTTCTCTGAAGTAGGCCGAAATTCACTGAGGATTTGTTGGTTTTCTTCCAGCTGGTTGGGGTGTTGGGGATTCTTTTGTTTTGATCTTTTGTAGTGGTCATCTGACTTTCTTGGTTGTCGCGGATTTTTTGTTAATTTTGGGTAACACCTCTGAGCAGGCGGGCATTTTGCTTGTTTGTCTTTTCTCTTTGACGGGAGAATGGTGGCTAATGCTTGGGATTTTTAATCTCGCCTTTTTTTGCGGTTTATTTTTTTTCTCGCGATTTTGGATTTTGACTTTTCGGGATAGCGCGTAAGCCTTTTTCTTTTAATTTCTTTTTAGTACATTGGCTTTTTTAAAAGAGAATAAAGGCAAACAACTTAACCAAAAGACTTTTATCATGAATTTTTGTACGATGACTATATATACAATGATGTTCCTAAGGCGGCGGCGGGCTCAACTGCGAGGCTGAAGACGGCTCAGGAGGAGGAAACTGCCAGAGCATGTGCCTCTGAAACTCTTCCTGGCTCCGGATCATGCCGAGCACATGCTGGTCGATCGTGTCCATGCTCTGAATTACTCCCTCCTGCCTCTGGTTGATGGTCTCCAGCCACGTCTCAAAGACATCCTGCCTTAAGGACATCTGGTCTAACTACTGGTGGATGTCATCCATGTGACGGTGGACGCCAGGGAAGCCATCCCCATACTGCTGTTGCTCGAACTCCAGGGGCATCGGGATCTCCTGCGACACATCCAAATCGTGGATGTCCAAAGTCATGGCGAGCGTCGGGTGGAGGGTCACCTGGGACCCCTGCCTAATGAGCATGCCCATGCTGACGAGCATGGACCCACTGATAAGCTCAGGTCGTAGGATAGAGGGAATGTCCTCCCCGTTGGTGCATCCCCATCTCTCGGACAGCAGGGTGATGAGGGGAGCCATGAGGATGGCTCCAACGGGACGGCTCCCGAAATCCTTTAGAGCCCTCAAAAAGAAGAAGTCAGGATTACACCGACGTCTGTGCAGCATGCAGTGTAGCACGAAGAGATCGGACTGAGTAATCTTCCCCGACAACCAGTAAAGTCGGATGACCACTAGCAAAAACTCAAAAACAAAGAATCTCCAACAATCAACAAGTTGGATGACTATTAGAAAAGCCAAAAAATCAAAGAATCCCCGGCACAAAGGATCCAAAGGACATTTTGTTGGACACTACGAAAAAGCTCCAACGAAGGGACATGATGTGTGAGCCACATATGCAGAGAAGATCCACAAAGAGAAGTCGTGTGTGGAGTCGTGTGGTGAAGAATCACAGTACCAAACCGATAGGAGTGGCCTTTGCTCGAGGGGACGATCCAGATCCAATGGTTACTGGAGAAAATTGGACAATTACTAATGTACGGACGACAAATTTTTCACTAGAGGAGACCCTAGATTAATAGAGTGGGATTATCCCACTCTCATAGCAACTTAAGAGTAAAAAAGAAGGAAAAATATACTATCGAGAGCTTAATCACACCCCTCATATAATTAATTTATTTATAATGATAAAGTATAAATTCAACTAGTAGATGGAAAGTCAAATAACTAAAGTTGATCTAGAAACCTAGGTGCAAAAATAAATACAGTTCATACATTAATATTTCCAACACTATACTAATTACTAACTTTCACATTGGTCTTTTTACCAAACTCTCTCATCCTCTACCCATATAATTATAAAAAAATTGAACTATAATAATAAAATATTGTTTATAAATTAGCATAAACAATTAATTTGTATAAGTTATCTTATGTATAAATTAATTTTAATTTTTTTGCTTTTAAAAGTGCTAATAAAAAATTGTCTAAACAAACTTGATAAAATGTCATGTACTTGGATCTATTTTTTAACAATGGCCTCAAATTGAGTCTAAGATTGATCAACCACTAATTTTTTTAATCAACTTTGATGTTTGGTATTGTTTCACACTTAAAATTTTTTACTCAATATGGTTATAGTTTTTAGACCAATAGTAACGTTAACCATTATTATGTTATGTATATACCTTCCAATAATAAAACATAATTTTTGCATATTCCACTATACCATTACATACCCTCATAATATCTGAGTTAATATTTTTGAAAAAGATAACATACCTAGCTATTTAAATTTAAATTAATATATGCACATCATGTCAATATAACAAAATAAATTTAAAATATAAAGTCATGTATAATATTGGTTATTGAAACAAAAAGTACGTTACTTTAAACTCACGTTTATTTAGAATTAATTCTACAAAATTCAGTGAACTCAAAATCAATTATATAAACGCATATCAAAACTAAACTAAACTCAAAACATTCATAGCACATATGAAACCCGTTGGCATAATGCAAACGTGGGTTTGTAAAATTATCATTATGTTCGAAATTTTAATAACAAAATGGCACAAGATTTATACTCTCAATAATTTGTACTTTACACCCAAATTTGAATTTGCTAAAACTATTCAAACACTATCCTACAATCAATTCGCTTCCAACTTTTCACCAAAACCAAGCTAACTCAGAATCAAGTTTACAAACATCACCCTGCTGCATTTGCAGTACCTACATATCTTAAGGTATTTGCTCACATGTATGGAAAAATGTAAGGCCAAAGTCTCAAACATGAGAAGTTATTAGTATAATGTGATTGTGTAGCTTTTGCATTGGATTGGGAACTGTACATGTATACTAGGATTCAGTACATGGTTTCTATTGAAATAGAAGTTTTTAAACACAATCACTTCAAACTCAATTCTAACAAAATCCAATTTGGAAAAATCAAGTTTGCAAATACTCATCGCATCACATACTAAATCCATACATGACTAATAAATTGAATGCTTCCGTGAGAAAAAGGTATGACAGTAGAAAACAGTGGAGAAACTTAAGCAGATTAGAACTAAATCAAATATTCAACAACAGATGAGGAAAATCCTGCAAGCTCACTGTCTATAACAAAAATGGTTTTGTTGTTAATCTACCATACAAAATGCCGCCCAAATATAAAATTATGTGGTTACTCTTTTGAACAGTTTATATGTGCCAAAAACATTCTTGTCTTGCCAAAGGTAAGGAATGAAGAAAGACCTATACAAAGTTGGTGAAAGCTCTCTGTCAAGATAAGGCAATGCAGCAATAGGCTGAAATGCAAACAATAGTCAAACAATTAAAAGCAAATATTAGAATTTCAACATGAGAAAGTGAGAAACTTCAACAATGACTTACCTCCCATGTTGACAAGTCACTTCCGCGAGTCAGGTAAGGCCGTTTGAGCTGTAGCTCAACAAGGAAAGTACAAGCATCTACATCATGGAGCTGTTGAATCAATGAGTCACTAGTCAGTAGCCTTCTAACGAAAGTACTAGTTATCTAGCACCTCTATAGGCAGTTAAAGGGGACATACATATTGCTCGTTTGATGCCATGTTTTTGTTGTTAAAATACGGTGGAGCTGCTGCAGTCCCCCCTAGGGTAGAATTAAAAGGGAAGGGAAGAAGACCACGGAATCCATCATCAATCCATCGAACCTGTCCTACATAATCCGGGATGAAAAATGATGATGGAAACCGATGCCATTCACTTCCGACACAAAGTACAGAATCTGCAATGGAAAGGAATAAAATGATACATCATTCTAATGCTTTTGTCTCAAAATACCTAATAATTCCCTCTTCAGCCTCTGTATCAAATATCCATCGAAATAGTGCTTCATGATACATATATTCTGATGTTTTTGTGTCAATACCTAATAGCACAAATTAGATGGATATTTGATAGAGGCTTGCAATAAACAGTGAAAATTTAGTCTAGATTAGAAGTTAATGGCAAAATATAACATTTCAAAGAGGGAACAACAACAGAACCATAACTATAAGAAGGAAAGTAAAGAAAGCTGTAGCAAAATTTTGCAATTATACTTCAATTAGAGGAAGCACAAGAAATTAATTCATTGAACATAAGTGATAGTCATGATGCAAGTTGAAGTAACATTTACGTCAATTAAACACCATCATTTCTAAAGATATAAAAAAGGTAAATTTTTCATAAAAGAGAATGCAAATTAAAGCAGCACAGCAGCCTTAGTTTCTTTAAGTACCCTAGAGTTCCCTTTTTCAGTAAATCCTTCTAAAGACATCATTTTCCTCATAAATTTCAGATTTCAGTATGTGGAACCCAGACATAGTGCCTCAGTTTGCAGAAATAGCTATGAGGGAAAAAAAAAGGAGAAAGAAAAGAACAGCATGCTTTGGCAGTGTTTGTTGAATTACAAACAAAGAACCTACGGAGAAATTCTCAATTCATGTATTTTCGTTTTACAACGGTTTTTCACCTTTATAGAATACAACTAAGGCTTGGTTTTCAAACAGAATACTCACTCTTCTACCCCCTTATCTATTTAAGCTAATTCCCTATTCCTACAACTTTAACCAACTAACTATTCCAAAAAATAACTATTTAAATTAACTTCTGTTTGGCTATATCATATATGACCCATTTACTCCACTCAATCACATTTAAAAGGAAAATAGCAATTCATAAAATATAGAAACAAAGACACCAAATGTTTGACTCACTGTTTTCTGCATCATGATGTTCCAAAATCTTGTAAACCTCCAAGGGAGCTGAGTAACCATGAATCAAAGAAAATGTACGGGCATGAGAGGCATATAGTATGAGGCTAAGAGCCACTGGTCTCATAACTTTGGCAACCTGCATTTAGCAAGAGAGAAATCCAGAAAAGATTTATTGCTTGCATATCACATAAATTAAGATCTATCCAAATCTCAGGTAATTTGGTATCATACTGTCACTATTATAGAACGGTCATGAGAATTATATTTGCTGCGAAAAAGATCAGGGAAACTCTCAATAACAGCTGAAGCAGCAACACAGATAAGTGGATATATTGGATAAAGGAACCTGCATGCACAGATAAGGAAAAATCAGTTATCTATATCAATGTAGTATACTTTATAATAACAATCAGTACAAAAATCATAATTAATTCACTCAAATGCACAAGCAAATGAACAATACTAAATAAATACCCTGCACACTATTAGAACTAGATGTGAATTCTTTTAATGAACTAATCCAAACAATACACACAGAAAAGGGCTTAACTTTGAGAAACTGATTTTTAATTAATGATAGGCCTGATAGTATAACCAAGATCTAGAATACATGCTTTCAAAAAATTAGAGATGCATGTGATACTTCTTCCCTTAGTTGATGATTGTTGAGATATGTCATGTTTTAGAGTTTAACTCGTTTTTTTTTTTTTTTTGCATGTTCCTTAGAATAGAGTTAAGGTTTTGGGCTGAGGCTCATATCCTCTCTTTTGTATCTCTTCTTTATGAATGTTTGTATACTCTGTATTGAAACCTAAACCGTTTTCTCAAATTGGTATCAAAGCGTGCAAGATCCCGCACTAATTTCTAGTCATCCTTGTCACCTCCGGCCACTGGTGCGCCTCAAGGAGCACGACTCAATCCTGCAAAGCATGTCTCCTTCCATGATCTCCCAAGGTATCTCTCCAAGGCCGTGTGTCGCTGTCTAGTGGTCAAAATCAGGTCCGACCAGCGTTGTTCATCTCATTGATGCCTTTTGAGTCTAGTAATGCCTTTACTTTTCTGTTTTGAGATCTTTGAGGGTTAGGTCTCTGATAGATATAGGTTAAAATATAAAAGGAGAGAAAAAACGAGTTAATAAAAAAAATAGAATTAATAAATAAAAACAGTTGGCGTTGTATTTTTTTAGGCAGAACAGACTTAGTATATAAGTCTGTCAGGAAAGGCTGAGGGGGAGGAAAAAAAGAGAAAGGAAAGGAGTTTTCTCGATTGGAGAGAGAAAGGGTAGGATTGGGAAGATTGCTTCCCGCTGTAAAGTGTATTCTGTAAAGTGTATTGTCATTACACTGTGCGAGGAAATTTTGTACTATCTCATAGATACGTCAATTCATATTAATAAGAGGTATATTCAATTCAGCAGAGATATCGGACCTATCAATTGGTATCGGTAGTCTTGACTTTGGCTGTGGGAAGGGCTGCATCAAGGAATGGTTAATACAAGAATGGAGGCCAGATTAGATAGCGTTGACAAGATACTTCAAGATCTTGTGCAAGAACGGGACCGGATTGAGAATCAGCAGCAAGAACGTCTCCAACGTTTGGAAGACTCGATTCGAGGGCTCACATTTGTGGTGGAATCTTTAGCAAGTAAAGAGAAAGAAACTGAAAGATTTGGGGCAAAGTCAGGGGACTGGATTAAATGGTCAACCAGATTTCAATAGTTCTGTTACGAAATCAAATTTATCTCGGTTCACGTTGGAGGAAGCTAGATATACCAGCTTTTGTAGGAGATGAAGCGTATGGATGGACCAATCGTTTAGAACGTTATTTTCGATTAAAGGTCTGTTTCGGAAGAGGAGAAAATGCAAGCGGTCATGGTAGCATTAGAAGGAAAGGCATTAAATTGGTTTCAATGGTGGGAAACCTGTAATCCACATCCATCTTGGGAAGCATTTAAAGTTGCAGTGGTACGGCGATTCCAACCGAATATGCTCAAGAATCCCTTTGAAATCTTGATTGGATTATCTCAAAAAGGTACAGTGGAGGAATACATTGAGCAATTTGAACAATATGCGAGATTTTTAAAAGGAATACATCAAGATTATTTGGTGGGTATTTTTTTAAATGGGTTAAAAGATGAAATCAAAGCTGAGGTCAAGTTGTATGACCCTCAAACTCTGACAGAATTAATGTGTAAGGCTCAATTAGTGGAAGAAAAAATTTTGGTGACATCAAAAGGTGTTTCTTATTATTCTGGGAGTCATTCAGCAACTGGTTCTATGAAGCCTTATACGGTCACTAGAAGTTTAACCAGAGAAAATTATAGTTTAGGAGGATCGGTCAATGAAGGAAAAAGTAAAAATGCAGATACTGCTAGTGTATCTAGCAGTAATAGTGGGGGGCTACGTGCTAGAAGGGCTCCTTTCAGGAAGTTGTCCGAGACAGAATTACAAGATAAAATCAAGAGAGGTCTTTGTTTTCGCTGTGATGAAAAATATGGTCCATATCATGTCTGCAACAATAAACAACTTCATATGTTGTTATTGACAGAAGAAGAAATTTCTGGATTAGAGACCTCTTTAGCCAACTCAGAGATCTATATGAACAGTGTGCAGGAGCCCGTTTTGCAGCTATCATTATGTACGATGACAGGGTTAACTACTAAGAAGTCGTGGAAAATTTGGGGCAACATTGGGTCAGAAAAAGTGGTCGTGTTATTGGATTGCGGAGCTTCTCATAATTTTATTTCTTCTAATCTCATTTCCAGATGTGGGTTGCTTCGAGAAGATACACCCTCTTTTGTGGTGGAAGTAGGAGATGGTCACAAGGTTCGTTGTCAAGGGAGATGCTCTGGATTTCTTCTGAACTTACAAGGATATCAAGTGCAGCAACAGTTTTATGTTTTTGATTTGAGTGGGGCTGATATTGTGTTGGGATTGGAATGGTTATCAAGCTTGGGAGAAGTTAAAGCTGATTTTGGAAGATTAAGGCTAACTATTGGTAAGGGCAGTACAGAACAAATAATATCCGGAGATCCTACATTGTCCAGGTCTCAATCTTCGTTGAAATTTTTATGGCATGAATGGAAGGAAGAAGGCTCTTGCTACTTACTCAAATGGGAAGAGAATTTGGAACATCTTACTACTCCGGAGATTCCTGCAGAAATACTTAAGGTTTTGGTCATCAATGATGACGTTTTTCAAGAATCTGAAGGCTTACCACCTAGTCGAAGCCATGACCATTCTATTCACCTACAACAAGGTGCTTCAATTCCTAATCTTAGACCATATAAATATTCTCATCAGCAAAAGAATGAGATTGAGAGATTAGTGCAAGAAATGTTGCAGGCTGGAATCATTAAGCCCAGCATTAGTCCTTACTCAAGTCCTATAATATTGGTTAAGAAGAAAGATGGGGGTTGGCGTTTTTGTGTCGACTATAGAGCTTTGAATAAGATAACAATTCCTAATAAGTTTCCAATTCCAGTAATTGAGGAATTATTGGATGAGTTGGCCGGGGCAACTATATTTTCGAAGTTGGATTTGAAATCAGGGTACCACCAAATTCTAATGCGCAAATCTGATGTGGAGAAGACTGCATTCCGAACTCATGAGGGCCATTATGAGTTCTTGGTCATGCCTTTTGGACTGACTAATGCCCCTGCAACCTTCCAGTCTCTTATGAATACCATACTTAAGCCCTATTTGAGGAAATTTGTACTTGTTTTCTTTGACGACATATTAGTGTACAGCTCTAATGTGGAACTACATGGGCAGCATTTAGCGGAGGTCCTAAAGGTATTGAAAATTCAACAATTGAAGTTGAATAAAAAAAAATGCAGTTTTGGTCAATCCAGCCTAGAGTATTTAGGCCATATTATTTCTGGAAATGGAGTATCAGCGGACCCCAAGAAGATTGAGGCAATGCAGAGTTGGCCTATTCCGAAAGATGTGTCAGCATTACGAGGATTTTTGGGTTTAACGGGATATTATCGCCGTTTTGTTCAGGGCTACGGCAAAATAGCTAAACCATTAACACAATTATTGACTAAGGATGGGTTTCATTGGAATAAAGGGGCTCAAGATGCTTTTGAACAACTCAAATCAGCTATCACTCAACTTCCTACATTGGCTGTTCCAGATTTCACTAAACCATTTATTGTGGAAACTGACGCATCTAGTAAAGGGTTAGGGGCAGTCCTAATGCAAGAAGGAAGACCATTAGCTTTTTGGAGCCAAACACTATCGGAAAGGGGGCAGAATAAATCAGTTTATGAACGGGAACTCATGGCTGTTGTTCAGGCCATACATAAGTGGAAACATTACTTAATGGGAGGACACTTTATTGTAGTCACTGATCAGAAAAGTTTGCGATTTCTTACTGACCAACGATTGTTGACTGAGGAGCAGTTTAAATGGGCTTCAAAATTGATTGGATATGATTTTGAGATCCAATATCGTGCAGGAAAGGAAAATTCAGTGGCAGATGCATTATCAAGAAAAGGATATTTTTTATCTTTGTCTACACTCCAAAGTGAGGAATGGGAAGATTGGCAAGATCAGATGCAACAAGATTCCAAACTCACTTCCATAATTCAAGACTTGTTAGTGGATTCAACATCCCGTAAGGGTTACAAATGGGTAAAAGGAAAACTTTTCTATATGGACAAACTGGTTTTACCACGCACGTACTCACGTATTCCTATTATAATTAAAGATTTGCATGAATCTCCATTGGGGGGGGCACAGTGGTTTTTTCCGAACATTTAAAAGGGTGGCAGGAGTGGTATATTGGGAGGGAATGAAGAAAGACATTAAGGACTTTGTGACCCTATGTGCAGAATGTCAGAGAAATAAAGCGGACACGTTGGCTCCAGCAGGGTTACTACAACCTCTCCCTATACCCACTCAAGTTTGGTCTGATATTTCAATGGACTTTATAGGGGGATTGCCTAAAGTTCAAGGGAAAGACACTATATTTGTTGTAGTTGATCGACTTACCAAATATGCCCATTTCTTTTCCATGGCACATCCTTTTACTGCAGCAGATGTAGCTCAGGTTTTTTTGAAAGAAGTAGTTAAACTTCACGGGTTTCCTTCTACAATCATTTCAGATAGAGATCAACTTTTCCTAAGCAAATTTTGGAAGGAATTATTTCGACAAGCTGGGACCAAATTAAAGTTTAGTACAGCTTACCATCCCCAAACCGATGGCCAAACCGAAGTAGTCAACCGCTGTCTCGAGACATATCTTCGTTGCATGACAGGAACACAACCTCAGAAATGGCCACAATGGCTTCCATGGGCTGAATTTTGGTTTAATACCAACTACAATGCTTCCGCTAGAATGACTCCCTTCATAGCCCTTTATGGCCGTGACCCACCCTTGTTGTTGAAAGGATCTACAATTCCTTCAAAGATTGACAGCGTTAATCAACTACAACAGGAGCGGGATGACATTCTTAAGGAGTTAAAAGCGAACCTAGCTAAGGCTCAAAATCAAAACAAAGTTCAGGCCAATAAACATCGTAGGGATGTTGAGTATCAAGTGGGAGATTGGGTATATTTGAAGCTACAACCTTATAGGCTTAAATCCTTGGCTAAGCGCCCAAATGAGAAGTTAGCTCCGCGATTTTATGGCCCTTACCAGGTGATTGATAGAATTGGACAGGTTGCCTACAAATTGGAATTACCTCCACACTGCAAAATACATCCAGTATTTCATGTTTCACTGTTAAAGAAAACCATTCAGCCATCGACGGATCCTCAACCATTACCAGCTTCATTAACGTAAGATCATGAATTAATTATGTCACCAGCTCAATTCATCGGACACACGAACCAACGAGTCAAGGAAAGATGGAAGCCCTCATCCAATGGAAAGATCTTCCACCTACGGAGAGTAGTTGGGAATTAGTCGAAGTTATATCCCAAGAATTTCCTACATTTCACCTTGAGGACAAGGTGAAGCTTCGGGGGAGTAATGATAGATATAGGTTAAAATATAAAAGGAGAGAAAAAACGAGTTAATAAAAAAATAGAATTAATAAATAAAAACAAGTTGGCGTTGTATTTTTTTAGGCGAAACGGACTTAGTATATAAGTCCGTCGGAGAAAGGCCGAGGGGGAGGAAAAAAGAGAAAGCAAAGGAGTTTTCTCGATTGGAGAGAGAAAGGGTAGGATTGGGAAGATTGCTTCCAGCTGTAAAGTGTATTCTGTAAAGTGTATTGTCATTACACTGTGCGAGGAAATTTTGTACTATCTCATAGATACGTCAATTCATATTAATAAGAGGTATATTCAATTCAGCAGAGATATCAGACCTATCAGTGGTTCCCTCTCTTAGTTCTTCTCTGGTTAAAATGTCTTCAACCAGCACCTTCTCTTTCTCTGTCACTCCAATCATTACTAGTGCAAGACTCAAATCAAAAAACTATTTATCTTGGTCTGCATTTGTTGAACTATGGTTCCTAGGTCAAGGGTACCATGACCATCTGGAAAAGGAAGCCAGTTATATTTCTGCCTCCGAAAGGTCCCAGTGGGAGAAAATAATTTTTTAAATTTGTGCTATATTATGGCAATATGTGGAACTAGAAGTTCTTGAAATCCTCAGGTCATTCAAAACATGTTTTTCCTTTTGGAAAAAGGTACAAAATATTTTCACTAATGATACTTAACGTCTCTTTGATGCAACTCAAAGGGTGATGTCGCTCAAGCAAACCAGCCATGACATGATGTCTCATATTGCAAAGGATAGGGCTGATGTAGAAGAGTTAAAAAGGTTTCTAGTGGCAAGTTCTCTAGAAGAGTTGAATATCAAACTTGATAAGCTATACATGGTTTTGATTTTGAGGAGTTTGCATCCTAACTTTGATCATTTGTGTGATCAAATCTTAGTTGGTGATCAGGTTCCTTCAATGGACAACTTAGTCACGAGGCTTATTCATCTACCCAACCTTATAAAGATGAAAGTCAAGTTGAGGCCATTGAAATTTCAGCTATGGTTGCTCCTCGCGAACGAATGGGAGGGCACAACAATCAAGGAGAGCGTGATGGTAGGAATGTACGTTTTTAATGTTCCTATTACAAGAGAAAGGAGCACACATAAGAAAACTGTTATTTCTTACACGGTTTTCCTAATAAGACTACTACTGCCCATGTTTCTAAATTTGAAAAGTCAGATATGAAGATTTCTGATGAAGATTATCACGAATTTTTGAGGTTCAAATGTGAAAAAATCAACAATCAGAGTCAATCTTCTTCAGTGTCAAATGTTTCAACATCATGCATTTCTCAATGTATGGAAGGTCAAAACCCATGGATTATTGATTAAGGTGTCTCTGACCATATCTCTGGTAATAGTTCCTCATTTTCCTTCATGTCTAATCCCAAAATTCCTCACTTGATTATTGTGGCTAATGAATCCAAAGTGACATTTCAAAGAGTTGGCCAAGTTCCTTTAACTCTTTCACTAAATTTAAACTTTGTTCTTTTCATTCCTAATTGCCCTTATAACTTGATTTCTCTAAGTCAATTGACTTACTTTTTGAATTATTTTGTATCCTTTAATTCTGATTCTTTTGTTATTCAAGAACATGGTACGGATTGTCTGATTGGAGAAGAAGTGGATCACATGGTCTATATTATTTGAATCGAAGCCCGTTGCTACTCCTACCCCTAAACTTTTGCATGCTCGTTTGGGTCACCCAAGTTTACCTCAGTTGAAAGTGATGGTTCCTAATCTCAAACACCTTCAAGTTTTAGAATGTGAATCTTGTCAATTAGGAAAACATGTTAGACCTACATTTCCTAAACAACCTGAAACTCAATGTAATTTTCCTTTTTCCAATATTTATTATGATATTTAGGACTGAGTTGTGTCTCTTCTTTTGATTTTCGATATTTTGTAATCTTCATTGATAAATTTTCCATTTGAACTTGGGTTTACTTTGTTAAGGTTCCAACATAAAACCAATTGGCAATATGTGGAGTAGCCTAACATGTATTTAAACCATACCAAATGACATCAGGTAGGCGATGTGGGACTTTCAATACACCCCCTCCAACGAAGTCTGCCGGACCAGGCAAAGGGTACTTTTGACCCAACTAAAGGAAAAGTTTTTGGCCCATGACAATAACCGGAAAGATGTTAGGCTTTGGCTCTGATACCATGTTAAGGCTCCAACATAAAACCAATTGGCAATATGTGGAGTAGCCTAACATGTATTTAAACCATACCAAATGACATGAGGTAGGCAATGTGGGACTTTCAACATACTTAATAAAATACAGATCTGAACTCTTATCCATCTTTGTGTCCTTTTTTTAATGAGATTAAGAACCAATTTAGGAAGATAATTAAAGTTCTCAAAAGTGGTAATGCTAAAAAATATTTTTCTACCTCTTTTTCTTCCTTTTTATCTTCCCAAAGCATTTTACATCAATCCGCTTATTCTCACACCCCATAACAAAATAGTATAGCGAAAAGAAAAAATAGGCACCTTATTGAGACTGCACGCTCTCTAATGTTGAATGTTAATGTTCCTGCTCATCATTGGGATTTTTATTTAATTGAATGTCATCTTCTCTAAAAATAAAGTTTCCCATTCTCTTATCTTTTCAGATGATCCTCTATATCATGTGTCCCACGTGTATTTGGTTGTACCTATTTTGTATATAATGTCTCTCTAGGTCTTGATAAACTAAGTGCGAAGACCATTAAGTGTGTTTTCTTGGGATATTCTCGCCTTCAAAAAGAGTATAAATGTTATTATCCCTCCACTAAACAGTACTATATATTTGCTGATGTCACTTTCTTTCAGAACACACCCTTCTTTTCTTCCTCCATGGAGGATATTTCCCCTATTCAGCAAGTTCTTATACCTTCGTGTGATCCACTTATAATACTTGATCCGTCTACAAGTCATACTGATCCTCCTCCTCTTCTCACATATCATCATAGAATCCCTCCTACTTCTTTATCGATCCCTGAAGTTCCTCGTGATTCATATTCTTCTCCATCAGCTTCTCATACCATGGATCCTTCGTCCTCATCCCCCACTTCTGATTCTGCCTCTAGATGATCTATTGCAATAAAAAAAGGTATTTGTTCCACTTCTAATCTCTTTCTTATTTATAATTTTTTAGGTTATCATCATTTGTCTCCTTCATATTCTACTTTTTTTCTTTCCTTGGCCAATACTTCTATTTGTAATATTGTTCACGAGGCACTTGATAATTTTGGATGACGACAAGCCATGATTGATGAAACCCAAGCTCTTGAGCACAATGGCACTGGGAAACTTATCCCTATTACTCCTGGCAAAAATACTAGGTTGTAGATGGGTTTATTCAGTTAAGTGTGGTAATAATGATAAGGTGGATTGTCTCAAGGCTCACTTAGTGGCAAAAAGCTACACTCAGACTTATGCATAAGTCTTCATTGCTATGATACCTTTTCTCCAGTATCAAACATTTCCACTCTTCATCTCTTTCTTACTATGGTTGCTATTAGTCATTAACCTATTCACCAATTGGACATTAAGAATGTCTTCTTTCATGGTAACCTTGAGGAAGAGATTTACATGGAGCAACCTCCCAACTTTGTTGCTTAGGGGGAGTCTGATTTAGTGTGTAAGCTACACCGATCTCCTTAAGGTTTGAAGCATTCACCTCAAGCTTGGTTTGAAAAATTCAGTCATGTTATGCAGATGTTTGGCTTGAAAAGGAGTGAGGCAAATCATTCGGTGTTTATTGTCATACCTCTTCAACACTAAAATCAGTCAATTGAAAAATTATCTATTTGGTCACTTCCAAACCAAGCCCGGGTGACTACTTCAACTCATAAAGAGACCGGTGTAGCTTACATACGAAATCAGAGTGAACATGAAAATAAAAATTGCAATAGTATAAATAATATGGCATTTAACTTTACTGCAACTTAAAATTGAGTGCCTCACTCAGTATAATCCAATCCACCAATTAACAAGGTCCATGTTCCTAACTTACCTAGAACCAATTCGTAGGTAGTATTTGTCTGTCTTTGTAAATCTAAACAAAATCATCTAATAAGCTACTACTTATAAAAATGAGACCATATTGGAGATTAACAAAAGTAGAAAGTCAAAAGATTTGTATAAACCTGAAGGAAATAAGAGATTGACATCTATTTCAATATCATAATATAAAACATAATAATGTACTTGGTATGTGCATTGTGCAAGTGAATAGAAAGTGCTTGTCTCAAACATCCTATGATTAAATTTGTAACAGACGACAACGTAAAAACTCAGCCAAACCTTTCTTCTTTGTGTGGCTGCAAAGACATAAACCCCAGCCAAATATATATAGGAGATATCACAATCAATAGGTCTGGTGCATATTTCTTCTTTGCAATAGGCAACATTCCCAAGAACAGCAGAGCGAGAACAAAACAAAAGTTGAAATTGTTAAATCCGTTCCTCAGATAATAAAGAGGCCCTTCAACCCCATACAAATGGCTTTCACCGCCTCCAGCTACGTTGTATATTAAAAGATTCAAGACAGATGAAGTCCATTTTCCATAGTAGTAGAAGTCTGTAACTATTGACAATGCCTGTGAAAGAAATTAAAGTATGTTGCTATTGTAATGGATATGAAACTTAATATCATCATAGGATGCGAGAAAAGCTATATATACTATACAACATTAAATGGTATAGTCATAATTTATAGGTCAGAGAAGGTTGATGGGGAAGGGTGGGTGTCCAACTTACAAGAAGAATAACTGATGTAACAGCCGCAGCAATAAATGCCTGTTTGAATTTTCTAGATAGAGAATATAGTGTCACCGGAAGGAAAGCCAAGATTGAGAATGGCCACCCAAGTATTACACCAATAACAGCAACAGAAATTGCTGAAGCAGGTTTTTCCAGAAGAAATAAACCTGATGCTAGAGATATTGCATACATAGAAAACGAACTTGGCAAGAAACCTAGAGATCATAAAAGTTTTAAAAAGAACATTAGCAAAACTGAGTTCCACGTCTTAGAATGGAATACAGAATCATGACATGCATAATACTTTATTTATCCTCAAATGTAGGTAGCATAATGACAAGAGAAGATGATGACAAGAAATCATTGCCAAAGGATCACGTACTAGTGCTAGCAAAGAAACAGCCACTAGTTAGGCACAGCATAGCAAGTGCATACGTAGCAAGTCGTTTTCCATACTTTCTCGAAAGTGCTACCACGAGAACAGTGTCAGTTACAACAGAGATAAGACCGAGAAAGAATCTCACAGCATAGAACACTCTCACCTACAAGCAGAAAAGACAATAGTAACATGAAAAGCATAAACATTTCCATAGGCAATCTTTAATTCAACAAGTAAGCACAGCTGGAACCTTACTTTGTCCTCACTAAACAACCATGAAGCTGGTCGACCCACTATTTCATGAAATAAAAGGTACAAATATGACCGGAGAGCAAACTGAGAACTGCAACCATGCACACACCACTTGTCATTTATCAATACCATGACCTGAACTGAAACTAACGAACCTTTCTTCTCAGTCTTTAATTTGTTTTTTGTAAGGTATAGATAAAACCCAATAAACGCATCATAATAATTTTTCCTCTCATCTACAAGATAAGGGTGCATTTGGAAGAATTTATTTACTACCAGCCTAGCTTATAATATGTCAAAAAACTGTTTTCAACTTATTTCAAATTTTCCCATGATAACTTACTAAAACATCTTACATCTTATGAAAACAAACTAACTCTATTTCCTCTTCAATTATATAATAAGTTTACACTTTTGCGCCGTCTAAATAAACATTTCCATAATCATACTACTAGGAAGTGATTAGTTAAAATACTTATGCATCCAAACTTTATAAAAGCATTCATCTAACTCATCTGTAAAATCAGGTGCATAAGTTGATTTTAGTTTATGGAAAGAAGTCCAATTCATTTTACATTCTTACTTTCTTCTTTATGAGCAAAAAGAAGTTTATGCAAAGAAAGTGAATAACTTATTCAATAAGCACTTAATAAAATTGTTCACCCAAACATCCCAAATAATAAAAATCAAAACTTTTTCTCTTCTCCCTAGACCCATCTTCCAAAAACGAATCCCAGCTAAAATAAAAGTAAAACAGAACAAAACCCAGAATTATGTTAAATCGAAAAGGAAGGTGAGTAGCTTAATACCTGTATTCCCATGTCTGGAAGCCAGTTTTGTAGAGAAGGTAATGAAGGGGCTCCCAATAATTAAAGACCTCGTCGCAATCGTGGATGATGTTGGACGTGGCACTCATGTACCTCAAAAATCCAAGAGCCACGAACGGAAAAAGCCACCCCAACCCTTTGTCGTCTTTTTCCTCCGATTGCTGAGGCTTGTCCAGCTTCGTGTACGGTTGCGACGGCGACGGATCAAACGGTTCAGAACGTCGCTGCCTCACGGTGGAGAGGGCCATTACGACTTCGAAATAAAAAATGGATTGCAACTTCTTCTTCTGACTCACACTAAACACACTCTTTCTAAGGATTCAAACTTCGATGCCAAACACTTGCTTCCTCGCAAAGCAAATTCTTCACTTTTGTCTTTGCTGCGTTATGTTATCCTTTTTTTTTCTTTTTTTTTTTACTTTACACATGTTACGAGGTTTATAAAATTACATAAATTATAACTTTTTAATATTTATATACTTAGAAATAGCAGTATAATAGTTTTTTTAACAATAAAAATATTTATATATAATTTCCAATAATAAAAATATATAAGAAATGTGTTGGTGCTTTTAAATTTTTTTAAAAATAATTGGTATAGTTTTTCTTTTTCTTATAAAATTTCTCAAGCATCATATGTTTATGGGACCAAACCTATACCCATTATTTTTAAGAGAACCTAAAAATATATATTACTAAAGAACTCAAGATTACCAGAACTAGGCAATGTAGAGTACTAATGAAAATTCTCTTTATTTGCAATCCCAAAATTAATTAACTTTTCTTATCAACATATTGATTTCCTTCTCTAAAAATACGATGTATGTTGATCATTTTACAAAACCAATGACTGTCTTTGTACCACTTATTTTTTATTTTTCATGGAACCATATCTCCGCGACCATAGTAAAGTCTTTTTCAATCTAAATCCTATGCCAACCTCTATTATGAGCAATCTCAATACCCCGTCTTGTAACATCAAGTTCCGTAAATACTGCATAGTTGCTACAAGAAACTTAGAAAACCCACCTAAATATTCTCCATTAGAACCACATAATATACCAACACTGGCAGCTAAAGTTGAAATCCGAATCCCCTTGCAACCCCATCAATATTATATTTAATCATACTTATTCCCAGGTCACAGGTATATAATTAAATTTTTTTGTATTTTAAATGAAAAAAAAACAATCATATATAATAACTATTTCAAAATAAAAATTGAAGTCTAAAACAATATCATTTAGTCCTAAAATCGCTTTGATCTATAATAATATAATATAGGAAACATATATAATAATTATAGGAAAATCAAAATTTATTCTTAATGAGTAGGGATAAAATTTCTAAATTCTCACTTAAAAAGAGTTAGGAAAAGGTGGTTAAGTTAGTTTTGTGTTGGAAATAAGTAAAGAAAGCAATTAACCTACACTAGTGCAAAAAAGGGCTTCTACGTCACCCAATTATCGTCGCATGTAAAAATATTCGACGTAAATAAAACGCAGTGGCAATTTTGTAAATAAGAGACAAAACTTTTACGTCGCGCATCCCAACACGCGACGTAAAAAGCACTCTTTTACGTCACACCTGGGTGGCGCGACGTAAAAGAAAGTTTTTTACGTCGCGTGCTGGGGTGCACGACGTAAAAAGTCCCTTTTATTTCCCCCCAGACCCACTCCCTCGTCTCGCACAAACAGGATTTTTGAGAACGACGACGAGAACGACGACAACAACTACCTCTGCACACCATTTTCGATCAGTTTGACACTGGAAAACATCAACATTGTGTGTCATTTTACGAACTTGATATTTCTCCCCGATTGGATTCGAGTTTGAAATCATTTTTCGTCTACACTCGAGGTTAGTGTTCTATGCCATTGCTATATGTTTAAATTGAATTCGTGATTGTTTTTGGGGATCTCAATCACGTTATAGTATGAATGTTTCCACTGGATTGTTTTTGGAATGTAATTATTTGTTTATTTGTTTGAGTGCATTCGGTTTACACACTCCATTGTTGTTGGAACGTGCTTTGTTGTTTGTATATTAATTTCTTTTTACATATAATTTTTAAATCTCTAGGAGTGACGAAACTTTATAACATAATATGAATCGAAGTTGGATGAATGCACGTCGTATTAGTGAAGAGTACGAAAAGGGAGTTGAGGAATTTTTGAAATTTGCTAGTGAAAATGGAAAAGCAATGAAAGGGACATATTATTGTCCATGTGTTCGTTGTTTGAATCAAATTCGTCATAAACTTGAGGATATACGTGATCACTTGTTTGTTTATGGTATTATTAAGAGTTATACAATATGGACATGGCATGGAGAAATATTAGACATCCCAACTGTGTCAACTACAGACAATTTTGATGAAGGGATGGATGATAATCTAGAGGATATGATACGTGATATTGGTGAAGAAAATTTGATGAAAGCACATCTATATGATTCTTTGAAATCTGATTTTGCGCAACAATTGTACATAGGATGTAGTTTTACAAGATTATCAGCTGTTAGAATCGCGCAGCGGAATGTTCGCGTGGTCGGACAAAAACCAAGAGGGGGGATGAATTGGTTTCTTAATAAAAATTAGGTTTTCAAAATTTTCCCCAAATTTTACCGATTAAAAAATTGTGTAAATGTAAATAGAGAAGAGAAGAGAATCTTACACAGGAAATTTATACTGGTTCGGATCAAAAGATCCTACGTCCAGTTGCTAATCACTCAAACAGAGGATTAACACTGTCACTATAATCAAGTTGTTACAAACAGATTACAAGTGAAAAGATAAAGATAAGAAAACACCTCTCTTGAAATCCACAAGAGATGATGAACAATTTTCCCTAGAGACGACACAGCACACAATCCACTAAGAACTCCACTTAGTGATTCTTATCGCTTCTAGCCCACACCAAGTTCCAAAAGCCCCTTTTTCTTGCAACAAACAGTTCTCTGGCACTACAGCACTAAACTTTTGTATGAAAAAGGTTGTTCTACTTTTCTAAGTGTCATAGAGAAGCTTAAGTAGAGAAATTAGGGTTTGGGAATTGGGAATTTCAGAATTAGGGTTCTTGGGAAAAGGGTTTTCAAAAATAGGGTTGATTTGAAGTTAAAATTCGAAATCTGACTGAAATAATCGATTAAATCAAGAGTTAATCGATTATTACAGAGCCAAAATCAACAGAACCCTGAAACTCTCTGTTTTAATCGATTAAAAGGGCTTTTAATCGATTAAACCGCCTGTTAATCGATTAATAGGAGTTTTAATCGATTAAACCAGTGAGCAGATACAAAAAATGGTTTTTCTCACTGTTTTAATCGATTATTTCCCTATTTAATCGATTAAAGCCAAGCCTGGATGATAAATTTGAGCTTTTTGAAGCTTCTAAGGTGCAGACTATGTACCGGCTATCTTAAACACTAATATTACAGATTCAATCTAATTGAAACAGAGTTATTACAATATGAAACAAGTCTTCAACACTCTAAGTCTTTGAGTTCTTGAATCATCATCAAAATCAACAATCTTCATGTCCATCAAGTGCAACATCAAGTCCTTGAATGTTCAACAATCTCCCCCTTTTTGATGATGATCAAAATTATCTTTTAAAGCCTTGTAATAACATGTTTTATCTGTCATACTAACAAACACATTAAACATATCAGATAATATTTAAAAACAATAATATTAGGCTTTAAATATTTCTCCCCCTATTTTGATTAGAATCAAAAAATAATTCTTCTATGACAAACATAAGAGCTCCCCCTCAAAATATGCATAACTTAAAGAAAACTCCCCCTCAAACATAGCAAAAACAGAACACCACATTTTATTTCAGATAAAAGCATCTATTACAATATAAGAGAAAAATTACAAATTTTAAAATTCTTCACTATCATCACTATGAAAGTGTGCATCAAATCTATTTTCTAAACGGAACACTTTATCATCTACATCAGATATACGGCGAATTATTTCCTCATGTTGTACTCCAGAAAGAGTGAAGAAAGACTGCATTCTCTGATTCATGTCAGATAACATGTCTTCCATGGATTGACGGGTTTCATGATGAGTAGAGGAAGTTCCAACACTTTGGATTTGATCAGAGGGAAACTCAGCAGCATGAGGCATATCTTCATCAGAATCTTCATTGTCACCATCTTGATTCGGAACATCATCCTTGTGAACATAGATGTCGTTGACACGCACCATTTGTAGTTGGATCAATGTGTTGTCAAGCATGCGATTTAAGTTATTTGTTCTTACTATTTGTTCACCTTCGACATTGACTCCCTTATATTCAAGAATCCGAGAGACAAGGAGGGCATATGGTATTTTGAAGATGGGATGACGTTTGGCTTTTAACATAGTCATGGTGACAAGAACGCCCCAATCTAAAGGCTCATTATTCATTATGGCATGAATAATCCTAAGATCAATTGAAGAACATTGAGCATGATTTGTAGCCCGAGGACATAGGATCCAGACAATTAGATGTAGAATCATGCGTTCCTCCTTCTTTAAAGGACCAGCAAGAAGGAGACGCCCAATCTCCATGGAGGGATTTCGCAGAAAAGAGCGGTAAGCTAAGAACCTGTCAAAATCATCTAACTCACCATAAATGTTAATAGCATCTTCTCTAATTGGAAAGTGGACAACATTCTCCCAAATATCGACGTCAAGAATAATTGTGACGCCTTTGACTCTAGAAGTAGCAATTTGATCTCTAAATTTAAATCTAGAGTAAAATACCCTAACAAGGTCAGGATAATACGTACCTTGCATTTGGATGAAAGGGAGAACTCCTTGAAATTCAAGAAGGTTGGGAAAGTTGAATCCCCTATTGATGAACTGCTCACCAATAAGGAACTTTGGAGAGATAATAGCACGTTCCTTCCAATAGGTCAGAAATTCTTGTTGGCCATCTGTATCAGAAATCCATCCTTCTACAGAATTAGGACGGGGACGAGATGAGGGTGCAGATCTTCTTCTAGTAGGGATCTTAGCACGAGAAGATGAGGTCATTGAAAGATTTGAGGAATAACAATTAGTTTTAGAAAGCTAAATGTATTGAGAAGAGGGCAAGATTGCTAGAATAAGGCAAGAAAGCTTGATTTCAAGAGATAGAAGTGAGTAGAAGTGAAATGGAGGCCCCTATTTATAATCAAGCATGTCTAACGGTCATATGGAAGTGAATATAGGTCAAGAGATCCGTTGGCAACGGCTAGGAGGCCAAACTTG